CAGCACTCAGGAGGCAAAGGCAAGCTTATATCTGTGAGTTCTAGGCCCAACCTGGTCTAAAAGCAAGTTCCAGAACAGCCAGAGCTGTTATACAAAGAAACTCTGTCTGAAAACAAAAACAAAGAAAGTGTGATTTGTCTAAAATAATTTTTTATGCTCACATGTGCTTCCGTTTCCTTATAATGAAAACCACTAATAAATGTATCTCCTCTCTAGCCTTGGTTTTCTGAGGGAGATGAAATTACCTATACCTATATCATCTACTGCTAGACTCTGACCTCTAAGCATTTAAAAGAGCCCATATTGTACTCCTCAGTGTTAGACTACTTCCCCAAAACGTCAGTCTCTCAGGACCCCATGATTCCTCTAAAGAAAGAGAACACATACATGTGGTGATTGCTTGTGTGTGCTCTAACAAATAAAGCTTGCCTGAAGATCAGAGTGTGGAGCTAGCCACACTAATTAGCCATAGAGGCAAGACAGTGGTGGCACACACCTTTAATTGCAGCACTAGGGAGAGGCAGACAGATTTCTATGAGTTCAAGGCCATCCTGGGCTATAAGAGATTGAATCAGTCTAAGAGAAACTGAGTCAAACAATGGTGGCTCACATCTTAAATCTCAGCACTAGGGTTGTTGAGACAGGAATAATATGGCTGGGTGGAGAAAGGAATATAAGGCGGGAGGAGACAGGAGCTTGCAGCATTCAGTCTGAGGATTTGTAGGGACAGGATTGTCTCTTTGGTCTGAGGATTCAATAGAGGTAAGAACAAGCGCTTGACTGCTCTGCTTCTCTGATCTTTCAGCATTAACCCCTAAATCTGATTCCGGGTTTTTTATTGGTAAAACCAATTTGAATTTGTGCTACACATACACTTAGCTTGTGAATGCCTGTAATCCCAGGACCTGTACAAGCATAACATGAATTCAAGGTCAGCCTAGACTAAGCAGTGAGACCCTATCTCAAAAAATAATTGGGGGCAGGGGGCAAAGGGAACGGACAGTTCAGTGGTAGTGTTTGCCCAGGACACATTAAGACTCTGGGTTCAATACTATCCGTTCTACATATGTTTCATTTAGTTGTAAATCTCAACCAAATTGGGGCTTCTAGGTGATCTAAATAATGGTAAAATTTCATCCGTCTTGGGCTGAGGAATGTGACTCAAGAGGCAAGAGTTCTTGCCTAATATGTATTATGAGACCCTTGGGTTTGAGTCCCAGCTTGCACGTGCTCTCTCTTTCTCACACACAAACACAACTTATATTTCTTGAAGAAAAAACAAAAACAAAAACATGTCAAAACAGCCAGTAAAAGACCTATTTACTAAAAGTAAGTTCTGACTTCCTAACTAAAGATGACTATTGACTACTTTGTTTGCTTTATTGAGATAGGGTCTCACTATATAGTTATAAGGTGAAGGGTGGCCTCTAGGTGTCAACCCTCCTTATACAGGGCAAATTATCAGCTCTATTTTAAAATCAAAGCCAAAACTCACCACCATCCTATGGTATCTATATTCCTAGAACTTGATTTACTTAATTTTTTTTTTTTACATTTTATTTATTTGGTTTTTCGAGACAGAGTTTCTCTCTAGCTTTGGGGCCTGTCCTGGAACTAGCTCTGTAGACCAGGCTAGCTTCAAACTCACAGAGATTCACCTGCCTCTGCCTCCCAGCTGCTGGGATTAAAGGTGTGCGCCACCACCACCCGGCCTAGAACTTGAAAGATAAAGGAAAGGAGAATCAGGAGTTCAAGATTATCCTCTGCTACCTGACAAGTTCAAAGCCAGCCTGGTCCATTTGAGACCTCACCAAACCAAAAAAGTCACTTATATTCAGAAATGACAATAAGTACAAACTCACTTATGGAAAGAAAAACTTCAATTGCAACAGAGATGAGTTTAAATATGTCACAAAATACAAATGTATCTCAAGATAGATAAAATTTTACACACACACACACAAAGTATCAAAGCACTCAAATCACCCAGTTAAAGGCAACTTATGCATTTCAGACTTTTTTTTTCTTTTGAGACAGGGTTTCTCTGTGTAGCCCTGGCTGTCCTGGAACTCACTTTGTACACCAGGCTGGCCTCAAACTAAGATATTCACCTGCCTCTGCCTCCCAAACGCTATAATTAAAGGCGTGTGGCAGTGTTTCAGACATGTTTTCAAGAAAGTTGAGTGTAGTTTTTAAGCTCTTAGAACACCATTTTAATACTTCTAAACAAATGGTCTTTTTCTTACTATGCAAACCAGAGCTACTCGATCCAGATGAAGTTTGTCATAAGAATGATCCAAAAAAGACTTTCAGGGCTGGATGCCTAAAGTAGCAAGGGAGCACTTACCTAACAAATGACAGAGGCCCTGAGGTTCTGTCCACACCCAACACTGGCGGGGAGGAGCACAAAAAATGGGGAAAAGGAAGCAACACCCAAATTAGTAATCATTAATGCGAGTAAATTTCTTTTTCTTTCTTTTTTTCTTTCTTTCTTTCTATTTTTTGGTTTCTCAAGACAAGGTTTCTCAGTAGCAATGAACTCGCTCTGTACAACAGGCTGACCTCAGACTCACAGAGATCTGCCTGCCTCTGCTTCCCAGGGCTGGGTTTAAAGGTGTGTGCCACCACCGTGTGGCATAAATTTCACTTTTTAAACTTTTTCATTCTTTAGCTATACATATATATGTGAATGCCACATGTACGCAGGTGCCCAAAGGAGTCTGAAGGAGGGCTTTGAGTATTCTGGAGCAGTGATTACAGGCAGCTGTGAGCTGCCTGATGCGGGAGCTGGGATCTGGACTCTGAAGAACACCAAGCACTCTTACTTCTACTGAGGAATCAATCTTCCAGACCCTGTGAATTTAACTTTGAAGCATGTTGCATTTTTATATCATCATTATTTGGTTTTTAGTTTTGAGATAGGGTCTAATTATGTAGCCCAAATGGGCCTACATAGGCCAGGCTGGTCTTGAACTCAAAAAGATCCACCTGTCCTGTCAAGGTGCGTGCCACCACCACAACACCCACCTGGTTTTGGATTTTTTTTTCTTTTTCTTTTTTTAGGTAGGGTCCCACTATATAGCCCATGTTTGCCTCAAACTTGTTAACTGTACCCCAGGCTGGCCTCAAATGTGCTAACTATAGTCCTGGATGGCCACAAAAATCACAAATTGAGTGCTAAGATTGCAGGTGTGCACAACCACAGTAGGATCTAATTCTAATTTTTCTAAGATTTATTTTATTTTTTTTAAAATTATGTGTGTGTGCTCTAAGTGAGTACTCAGAACTCTGAAAAGTTCTGGAGTTTCAGGTACTGGGGAATAGCCTGACACAGGTTCTGGGAACTAAACTGGAGTCCTCTGTAAGATCAGTGCAAGTTCTTAATCTCTAAGTCACCTCCCCAGCCCCTAAACAAGCTTAGATAACACAGTCTTTTAAAATTATTTGCAGAGAAAAACCTTAATAATCTGGTATTCAAAGAAGGAATGTTGAGATAGCAGCTTCTTTTTTGACAATTACTCTTAGTGCTTGTTTCTATAATTTACATCTACTGAGTGTGTGTCAGGACTCTAAGGACCATTATAGCTATTATATTACGAATTATAACGTGCACTGAAACCCTCTCTTTTTTAAAGAAATAAAAGGAAAAGTTTCAAAAGTATCCAAGGTCACCAATGAGTCAATAATAAAGTTGGAAGTTAACACTAAAACTTCAGCTCCTACACTACAAACCGCAACTTTCCAATCCCAAAAGAAAGAAGAGTTAACCGACTACTTGCAAAAACCACCCACCACCGTAGTATACTGACTAAACCCAAATCAAAGATTCACCCTGGATTAAAGAAACAACACGCAACATTTGCATACCATTATCTCCTTCCTTGTTCTCATAACCATACAATACAACATAAAAGAAAAAAACCTCTGGATATATTAATCCTTGGTAATGTGTACTCTTCGATATGAACAATTTATTTTCCCACCAACTGAACATTTATAAGTTAATCTTTCATCACCTTGTCACATTCCATCCGAGGTGCTATGGGGTACATTCATTCCTCACTCAACAGACAAAAGTTAAAAACAAGCAACTCTCAGAACATAGATACACTGCCAATGACAGAAAGAAAAGCGTCAATAAATTGCTGCTTTTAACGAGACTTTTTAAAACACGATGACATTCCTCCCAGAATTACTGTTAAGTTCTTGGCCGGTTACTTAAAAGTAGCATTTAAGGCACATCCCTCCCTGTTTGGGGCATAGCCTGACTCGTCAGACAAGATAAATCTAGACACGCTCACACAGAACACCTCTGAAGCAACTTAGCCTATTGAAAACATCATTGCCACCTCCCAAGTGCGAGTACTCAAGCCCTGTCATAATACAAGGGACAGAATGACCCTCTTCAAAAATCTTTCGGGAGAAGGTTCCCTCGGCGAAGACAATGACAGCAGTTCTCCCGGGAAGGATTTTGGAAACAGTGTTGACACCGGGAGGAGAGGCTCCGAGGAAGTGTCAGTGCGGCAGCAGGTGGAGTGCGTGCCAAGCAGGTCCTTTCTGACCTAGTCTCCAAGTCCTCCGCCTCCCTGTCCCGGTTCCGCCTTACGGACCTTTCCGAGCCGCCTCGCGCCCCGGTCCTCTCACTCAGGGCAGGACTCTCGAGCCTCCCGGGAAGCCAGGCCACCTAAGACGGCCGCCGCACCTCTTCCGGGGACTCAGGCCCGCTCCCCGGCAGTGTCGGAACCTGATGGACCCTACCAGGGGAGGCAGCCAGCTGCTGTTCCCAGGGTCTCTCCGGCCCCAATTCCAGAACTCCTTCCCCTTCGAGGCACCGCCGCCGCCACCCGCCTCACTCCGGAGTACCCCGGCGGAGTTACCGGCCCACTCAAAAGTACCAGCGCTGGCCGCCCCCACCGGTCACCCCGGCCTCGCTGTCACCGCCCAGCTCCCGGCTTCGGCCCGCACCGCCGGCGTGCCCCCGGTGACGCTCGGGTCGGTACCTTGCGGACCCCCTTGTAGATATAGAAGTAGAGCTCCCGGCCCACATTGAAGCAGAGGCGGTCGCCGTTGCCAGACTGGTCGTTGAGGTTTACGAAGGAGACGCGGACAGGGTTGGATCCCTGCGAGTTGAAGGGCACCCGGTTGGGCCGGCTGTACTCCGAGTGCGGCAGCAGCTTGTACAGACCTTCCCGGGTGGTGAATTGGGTCTTAATCTCGTTCATCTCCTTCCCTCCTCCCTCCGTCGCCATCTTGGAAAGCAGCGTTCATCCTGCCCTAAGTGCCCGGATCACGCCCACCGCGCAGGCGCCGTCCTCGGCCGCTCGTTCTCCACTCCCCACCCCCTTCCTCGTGGCCCCGCCCATTCGCGAGCCCGCCCCTCGAAGGCGGGCCGAGGCGAAGGGGGAGGGCTGATTTACGGTCCCACTGCGCACGCGTGCTCACCTGGGGCGCTCCGCCCGGGGGGGGGGGCGTGCGCAAGCTCCTCCCCTGGGTGCCGCCCTCTCGGTGCCTGTGGGAGCGAGCGTGCCGCGCTCAAGTTAGGCGTTGCTAAGGTGAGTTGAGTCTGTGGGCGCTCTGACCTTCGCTGAATGGACCCTCACCCGGAGAAACTGAGAGAGGACGCCGCCTTGACCTCGGCCGGCTGGTTGTCCCGTGGACCGTAAGAGAGACGAGCGGGGAAGACCGGTGTTTGGACCTGTGCATCCCAGCTGTGCTCGCCCTCCCCCGGGATCTGGGGTGGGTGCCGGGTCCCAAACCCCTCTTCGCCTCCCCGACGCAGTTTCGCAGAAGACAGAGAAGGACTGGATTTTATTACACCCCAAGGTTTTGTTTCTGCTTGTTTGCTACTTGTTTGAAAGCAGAGTTGGAAGAAGAGCATAAATGTACAGGACTTGCGTTTTCAAGTCTCACCCGAAATCTGACCGGTGAGCACTTTCGAGAAAGTTGGTCGTGTTAGCACTTGTGTCTCCTGTGCAAACATCGGCACTCCGTCACTTCTAGAGGAAAGGGCGAGGATCACAGCCCTTAGCTGCGGGACCTAGACATTGAATCTGTGCATGATATTCTTGCCTAGTACTTAACACTGCGTAATAAAGGTAAAGCTAATTAATTTTTTTGTTTTTTTGTTTTTGTTTTTGTTTTTCAAGACAGGGTTTCTCTGTAGTTTTGAAGCCTGTCCTGGAACTAGTTCTTGTAGACCAGGCTGGCCTCGAACTCACAGCGATCCACCTGCCTCTGCCTCCCGAGTGCTAGCTAGGATTAAAGTCGTGCACCACCACCAGTTAAAGCTAATTAATTTTTTAAAGCCTCGAGTGGAACTTAAAGTTGTTTGCTAGGAGAACCATAAAGTTATATGAAGTTAAAGTTAAATACTAAGGACAAGCTCGCACATTAAAGTTGTATGAAACAAGCACCATTTGATGCATCGATTTCTGGGTATGTGCACTGGAATACGAATGCTTCTAAAGTAATAAACATTATAATAGAATTCTAGAATGGAAAAAAAATTGTTACATGAAGAATGAAGTACTCCTGAAAAGTCATGTCTGTAGAGTGAAAATCAGTGAAGCAAACCAGTGGTACTTGCAGTTGCAGAAAGAAGAAAAGCCTGAGCCCAGATGTTGGAGGCTAGCCTAGCCCACGAAGCAAGGCTCCAACTTACAAAAATTCATTGTAAAAAAGTGGGGAGCAGCCGGGCAGTGGCGGTGGACACCTTTAATCCCAGCACTCGGGAGGCAGAAGCAGGGGATCTCTATGAGTTGAAAGCCAGCCTGGTCTACAAGAGCTAGTTCTAGAACAGACTCCAAAACTACAGAGAAACCTTGTCTCAAAACCGCTCCTCTGACAAACTAAGGTTGTGAAGTTTAAATCATAAACATTTTGTGTAGTAGAAAGCAAGAGCATAAACAACAGAAACTGTGCCAGTGCTGCAGAAATGCATGACACTAACACCTCGTAGCGTTCGTACATGCTGACAAAAAGATAGCGCTACAATAAAATCCATTTGGTTATGTAATTAATTAGTTAATTTTTCTTTTGGGAGACTGTATCTCTCTCTCTCTGTCTCTATCTCTCTCTTTTTGTTGTTGTTTTTTGTTTGTTTTTTGTTTTTTTTTTTTGTTTTGTTTTGTTTTCTGAGATAGAGTTTCTCTGTAGCTTTGAAGCCAGTCTAGAACTAGCTCTTGGAGACCAGGCTGGCCTTGAACTCACAGAGATCCACCTGCCTCTACCTCCCAAGCTGGGATTAAAAGTGTGTGCCATCACTGCCCAGCCTAAGACTATCTCTCTAAATAGCCCTAGCTGTCCTGGAACTCCATTGGAAATTCTGCCTGCTGGGATTTGAGTGCTGGGATTAAAGGTGTGATCATCACACTCAGTTTAAAATGCTCATTGTGGGGTTGGAGAGGTGGCTCAGAGGTTAAGAGCACTTGCTGCTCTCCTAGTGGTCCTGAGTTCAATTCCCAGCACCCACATGGTGGCTCACATTTGCCTGTAATGAGATCTGGTGTCCTCTTCTGGCATGACACTGTATGCATAGTAAAAACGTTTTTTAAAAATCCTTAATACATTTCTAGAATACATGTTAAATTTCATTTTGTTGTTATTTGTCTTTTTCTAAAATACAAATATGGATCAGAATTCTTAAAAATACTAGGGTATATTCGGTGAGCAATCCCAATCTCCCATAGCTATGTTATTTTGAACCAAAAACAGATGTTTATAATGGACATCTTGAGGAATAAATAACAGCCTCAATTATCTGAAAAGTATTCGGTTGGGTTTTCTAGTTAATAGCGGAAAATATACTTTAGGAGGGAAAACCTCAATAAGCAGAAACTGAACCAAAAAAATTGTTTGCTTTCAACCATAATATTCAGTTGCCCATAAGACCAATATACCACTGGCATGATGTCAATGCCTTAGTCACAGCACTTGGCAGAGAGGGGCAATAGATAGCAAGGCCAGCCTAGTCTACACAAAGACGCCCAGACCACTCAGGGCCACATAGCAAAACTCTGTCTTTAAAAAGGAAAGAGAGAGGGACTGGAGAGATGACTCATAGGTTAAGAGCACTGACTGCTCTTCCAGAGGTCCTGAGTTCAATTTCCAGTAACCCCACAGTGGCTCACAACCATCTATACTGAGCTCTGGTGCCTGGTGCCCTCTCTAGTCTGTAGGCATACATGCAGACAGACCACTGTATACATAGTAAGTAAATAAATAAATAAGAGAGATACAAAAGAGGCAAAAAAAAAAAAAGGTAAAAAGTCTGGAGGCAGGCAAAGTGTAGATAAAGAGAAACAGGTTAACTTAAAAGAGCTCGCTCAGAAACGAGCCTAAGCTAGGCTGAGCATTCAAAACTAATAAAACTAATAATAAGTCTCCATGTCATGATTTGGGAGATAGTTGGTGGCCCAAAATAAAAAAAAAAAATAAAGAAAATTAAGACCAGTAAGACCAGTATGCCTTAATGCTTATGTTAAGGCTTTATTCTGTATTTTCTTTTTTTTGGCCAAACATGGTAACATACTCCTGGAATGCCTGTCATTTCCAGAGGCTGAGAAAGGAGGGTGAAGAACTCAAAGCCAATCAAGCGAGGTGGCACATACCTGAAATACCAGTACTTGGGAAATGGGAGCAGGAGGTTCAAGGACATTCTCAGTAACTAGCCAGTAGAGAAACCAGCCTGGGCTACTTTAGACCCCTTTAAAGGAAATAATTCTAGCACTTGGGAGGCAGAGGCAGGTGGATCTCTGTGAGTTCGAGGCCCGCCTGGTCTACAAATCGAATTCCAAGACACCCAGAGCTGTTATATAGAGAAACCTTGTATCTAAAAAACAAAAAGGAAAAAAAAGAAGAAATGAAAAGCCAGTACTTCAGTCTGGCGTGTTGTCCAGTTTACTCACCAAGTCAAGGGCCAATATGAAGGACACTCTGTGCTTTGTCTGCTTCCCATTGTAATTCCACTTTCTGTATAGACAGGTTCACTCTGGCCAGACAGCTCAACCTCAGCTGCATGTGTTCTCACCCACAGCAGGGGCAGAGCAGGAGGTATGCCATTCCGTGGCACACAGGGAAAGAAGGCCATGTCAGGATTATCCCCATGCTCGCTCCATCCTTAGATGGCTCAGTTTGCCTGGCTTATTATTCACAGTCAGAGCCATGCAGCTGATCTTCCCAAATCTGTCATTGGCTCTCATGTCCATCCGGGCACAGGGTGGTACATGAGCTCCCTGAGGAGTCTGACTGAGGATGACAAAGAGCTTCACCCAAGTCTAGCTTGGGAACCAGTGAGTTTAACTGTGATCACTTTTAGGAACATAGGTGAAAGCTTACAAGAACATAAACAACTGGGCTGGAAAGATGGCTCAGTGGTTAAGAGCATTGACTGCTCTTCCAGAGGTCCTGAGTTCAATTCCCAGCAATCACATGATAGCTCACAATCACCGGTAATAAGATCTGGTGCCAACTTCTGTCTGCAGGGACACATACAGGCAGACCATTGTATACATAATAAATAAATAAATCTTTTAAAAAGAAGAAGAACATAAACAACTTAAGGGCATCCATCCACAATGGAACAGTGTCCTCTCCATCAGCAATTATTAATGGCTTATATATCCTACAGACCGGAATGTGCACCCTCCCCCCACTTCCAAAATAGCACTGTTGGTGGCACTGATCTTGTGAGATTCCTGTGCAAGTGACAGCAGCTGCTGTGGCTCAAGACGGAGGTGATTCTGTGAAGCCAGCTGCTTTCTGGTGAGGATGGGGAGCATTAAAAGGTCAGTGAGGCCCATGATCGTGAGCCCACCGCTGCACTTCTTCGGCTGGGAAGTGAGCTGTTTGGAGTGTCATTACAGTGGAGAAGTAGTTCATAAGCCCATGGTATATTTGACAGGGTGCTGCTGTTTCCAAGATGGAAATGGTACAGTGTAACCAACTGCCACCCGAGGGAATGATGCTATCTTTGAGCTCAGGGCTCGGCCTCCGCTGCTGGCAGATTGCTCAGCACCAGTCACAACCAGGTTCCCCCTTCCTGAGTAGAAGTCTGTGTTACTTCTCTGTTACCATGACCAAGACAACTTAAAAAAGAAAACCTTTAATTTGAGGCTTAAAGTTGCAAAGGTTATGTAAAAAAAAAAATAATAAAATAAAAAAAAAAGTTGCAAAGGTTATCGTGTATGACAGTCATGTCAGGGAGCATGGCCGAAGGCAGGCATGGCACTGTAGCAGCGGCTGAGAGCCTATATCCTTGTCCGTAAGTAGGAAGCAGAGGGCACTAACTGGGAAGTGTGGGCTTTTGAAA